CGATAGAAAAATTGAAAAGTTCAATTGGAAGTTAACTAACGCCGAACATGCTGTGATTTTCATCAATGATTGCATATCTGACAGTCTTAATCCAAAACATACTTATATATATACATATGTATATATTGTTTAAATTTCAACTATTTTATCAATTATGCACCGCCTTCTGAGCCAATGCGTACATCGCCAAACATTATTTGAGAGTGGGCTGGCTTGTATTGCCAGTGTGAAATTAATGACAACCTCGAGTTTTTTTAACAATATATTTGTATGGACAACAAAAATTTATCTATACCCTTTCATAAATTAAACTCCATTTCTTATTGCCAAAACTAAATTTTTGAAAAGTAACCTCACTTTTATCCCACTTCATTTTTGTCACACACTGCACTGCGGTCAAGTAGCAATCATAATCTTAGACTGAATTATGTTTGATCACTACATTTTAACATTAATATCTCCAGTAGCATGGAATAAAAAAATAAAAACGAATAAATAAGTAAATAAATAAATATATAAATATATAAATATATAAATCTGTGAATACAGCACAAAAAACAACGACCACAGCCACTACAGCCAACACAGCAGTCACTACATCAGCCACCAAATGTCCAGAGACTCCACCACCCACTTCAATATTTTCATTACTATCTTCTCTCTCACTTTCTTTCTCAATATCTCTGCTATTTGACCGGCACAAAGGTTAGACATATGTTACGACAGTTCTCTTCCTTTGTTTTTCTTTTGATGTTTTTCTTTTATTTTTTGTCATTTTTTCTTGCTAGTTTTTGTTTTTTTCATACATTCGCCAGGAGCAACATTTTTCGCAGAGAGCAGTTGACGTCGCGCCAATATTTATAAGAAAACGCCTTTCAATAACGTTTTTTCATTGAAAAATTTTTGCTGAACTCTGAAGAAATGATGGAGCCCTGCTGCTCTGATTTATTTTTGAAAGTTTTTGTTTGAATAAGAGATAGATTATTAACGGTAAATACAAAATGAAGTTTGCTAGAAAGCTCACCAACAAACGCTATTAAAACTTTATTAAATTTTCATAATAGGTTTGAAATTTGAAATTAAAACCGGGAAACTGTTAAAAAAAACAACAAGGCACCGACTGATAAAGTCAGTAGCAATTCAATCAATCATTTTATCAACCGTGCGCACAGACGATCCACTATGCAGTCGATCAACCAGCCAGTGAATCAATCAGGCATCTAGGCAATAAAGCAGCAAAGAGATTGTGACCTGATTCTTCTAAATTGAAACAACAACATCTTGCATGGGGTTCTCTTTCTCTCTCTCTCTCTCTCTCTCTTTCTCTCTCTCTTTTCTTCTCTCTCTCTCTTTTTTCTTCTCTCTCTTTTTCTCTCTCTCTTTCTCTCTTTCTCACTAACAATCATACACGCACACAGATTTATTTTCTTCTTTTGACATTTTATTTCTTCTGTTTGCATTGCGCCGACTTTTAATGCTACAATTATCATTGTTTAGTGTTACTGATCGTCAGCACTTTTGTTGTTGTTGTTGACTGGGATTTGTTGGTTGTTGTTGCTGTTGTTTGAAAGTTGTTGTTATAGTTTGGGAGTTGTTGTTGTTGTTGTTGTTGTTTGGGAGTTGTAGTTGTGGTTTGAGAGTTGTTGTTGTTGTTATTTGGAAGTTGTAGTTGTTTTAAATTCACGTTAATGTGTTTTTCTTGTCTCTAGAATGATTACGTTGATAGAAATATTTCTAATTGTTATTACTGGTGAGATTTATGCCATGCTTGTTCATAAAACGTTGCGTGTGTGTGTGTGTATGTGTTTGTGTATGTGCGCGCGTGTGTGTAAGTGTTTGTGTGTGTAAAATGTATATGGAAAGAGTTATGTTGTTTCATATATGTAATATTCATGTACTTGTGTGTATGTATGCGATGTGCATGTGTAAACTGAATGGATACACCAAAGTTTACCAGTATGTATTGTGTAGCTTTGGGCAAAAAACATGGAAACATATGGTGAGGAAAGGCGAAGCATTGAGCGAGCATATATTTGAATGCTTCACTTGCCACCACATATTGCATCAGCGCGCCAACCACAATCTTCTAATTAGTTTACTACCATTTGTTAATTAATTGCAATAATAAATTAATAAATTATGTAAATAAACAAATGCCTACATACAAATTTATACACCTATTATACAAATGCCTAAAATATATATTTATATATATGTGGGTGTTTGTGTGTGTGTGTGTGCGTGTATGTGTGTGTGTGTGTGTGTGTGTGTGTGTGGCTTGTGGCTACACGAATGTGTGTACGTGCAAAGGCGTAACTGACGGGGGTTTCGAGGATGAAATTCCTTCCACAATTACGGAATATTTAGGAAGAGCTGAAGTAAAATTTAACTGAAACATTATAAACATAAAAAGCGCTAGTTTCAATAAAAAATAAACACGTTGAAAAATGTGGAATAATATAAAAAAGACAATAACTTTCTTTTTAAATCCAAGCTCGCCCAAAAAACGTCTGTGTGTTTGTGTGTGAGTTTGTTTGTTTGTGTGTGCATGTATATG